GTAAATGTAGCAATAAGAGAAATTTCTGTATAAGTATTAATCATGTTCCCTTGAGCTTGACAGACATATTGAACTGATCCTGTTATGTTAGGAGAATATGACTGACTACCTTCAGAAATAACCAGTAAGGGAATCAATGCATTCTCTATATTAGCATTGGATGGTAGAGGACAATCTTGAGCAACTGATAATGAGAAAACAAGAATAAAGCACACAAGACACTTCATGGCATGCAGTCTAGTATAGCAACTGGAAAATCTTACTTTGCTTCTATCTATTTGTAGTCTGTTTTGAGGTTAGTAGTATAGTTTCCTGCATTCCTTAAAAATAAAAATAGCTTACCCCTCCATCATGCTACTAACGTCTATGATCTGTAGAACATGGAATTTGAAAGTTTACGCAGTGTAACATAATTTACATGTAAGCTATTTTCAATACATCATTATGTTTGCAAACTATACTATGTAAATATAGTTTACTTTCTCCTATAAACTTTTATTGCATTTCAAATTAATGCAACAAACTTGACTTTACAAGGAAGGCACAATATCAATAATCTAACTAAATCAAAAATAATAAAAGGAGTCAAACTAGCTTCATGTCATGCAGTCACATGCATTCAGTCAGGGCTTAGAAGTGGCTCTCTAGTTTCTGAATAAGAATCAAAGAATGAATCTTCAATATTTAGCCACAGCTGCTTCCTTTTTGCTGAGTATATTCTTTTAGAATTTTGACATAGGGAAGAATAGCGTGCTTTAAAATACAGGTTCAACTTCTTTAGTTTTCCTTTTACCCATAGAACATGACCAATGACAATTGCAAAAAATATCAGCAAGATAAGCATTGTACCAAAATTGAATGCCAGCACTAGTCCATTCATATTACTGATGAAAAAGAGATACCACATAAGTATTGCTATGAGGAGAGCAATGAATTGTATCAGTAAATTTAGATAATTGAGCCAGCTTGCTTTATAAGGTGGAAATAAGGCTGCAGAAAAGATGTAAATTATCCATAATATCATAGTGAATATGCAGAAACTGGAAAAATGTTCTTCATGTATTTGACAAAAGAGAATATAACAGAACACTACGACTAACAGTTGAGCTGGAAAGAAAAACTCTCGATTGTACTTATAAGGAGCATGTATGGCTTCATAAACTGGGCGAAGGTATTCCCTAAACCTGTTGATTTTCATTACCAATCTACCAAATAGCAATATACCAACATAAACAATTAGTATAGGCCAAACTATTAGAGATGTCATGATCATTAAAACCAGGTGACTACCACTTCCATACTCTGTGGTGCCATCTCTAAGCCAAACGTGAAGTGGTACATCAGTTGTATTGAGATGTATAATGCTATAGGTATACACATTCTGTACAGATACGAGAAAACTTGAGAAAGAGAGATGTACAACGGTTACGAGAACTTGAATTGATGATACAGATATTTTATTTGAGAGCTTCACTGAATATCTGCTAATAATAATAAGAAGCACTACAATCACCATGAGATAAATTGGAAATACTAAACTAAGTGCAAACTTCCATGCTTCCGTCATTCCATTGTACAAACAAATTGGGTAATTGAAGTTGATGTTCAGGTTAAGTAACGAGATTAATCCATTACTGATTGAGTAAAAAACAGAAACAAAATTACGACTTCTTAAATTGAATTGATTATAAGTCACAAGTATTTGAGCATAAAACACAATACCATTCATAGTACCTGTAGTCAGTGTGAGTCTGAGAGCATATAACAAATAGATGAAGAGAGGACCAGCGACTGCATACGCTAATGTTGTTAACAGCCACCAGTTACTGCATTTGCTGCATCGAATAGATCCAAACACTACACTGTACCCAGGAGAACATTGGGAGCATAGTGGGCCCCTTCTATTAGTAGTACAAAGAGGAGCTGCATCAGATAAATCTTTGTTCGTTATTTTGATATCTGTACCTTTTACAAGGAAAAGATTATGAATACTATCCAAGTAACAGAAGAGGTGACAAGATTTGGCAGCACCGAATGCAGTTGTACCACTAGTTAGATTCACTAACCCAATCCAACCTGCCATATAATATCTTGAAATAGTTGATAATGGATTAGAATTGTTGATGAAAAGATGAGAGCTGATCTTGCATACAGGTTTGAACTTGAGCTTTTTGAAAATATTATCACAAGTACAATTATTCGTGACATCAGTGAATTGGAAACCAATAGGACAGTTCAGGAAGTTAATGGATATACTCTGCCGTATTTTATAATTACCATATCCAGAATCAGCAATAATTGAAAGTGATGAATTATAGACATTTTTCCCACTCCTCATTTTTATAAAAGTCATTTGAAATAAAGTGTATTTATTCAGTTTAGTTAATATAATGCTGGACAGCTTCCATGATGTCACCTGTAGATTCACATTATAATTTATATTACTTTCAATCTTATGATATTTAGATCTAATCTCAAATGATACAACTGAGTAAGCATCATGACCAAAACCATCAGTTACTTGCAGTGGTATATTCACTAATTGCCCAGGATACACTTTAATGGTACTGTTAAATTCTTTACATCTGCCTTTGTAAATGAAGCAAAGCCTAGACATTAATGTAGAAAGGCTATTTTTTAATGTACCATTAGATATTGTCAGGAAAAATTTTTTTGCCAACGAAGTAGTGTAGTACTGATGGTTAATACTACAGTTATAAATATTGGAACTAAGGATAGAGCTGCCAGAATAAGCAGCATAGTTATCTTTAAACATCATTGAAATGTTTGACCATTTTTCAGCTTGAAACATACATTTGCAATTATGCAAACAGTCAGAATCAAGTGCAAATATTGCTCCACCATTTATTGTAGCTGTATTACTGGAAAAGGTTGCTCTTAGTCCATCGTAAAGTTGGAACCTGCTTTTACCATGGAGGCTAAAAACAGCACCTTCTTTTCCTTCATTTTCTGTGAAAACTAAATTACCTTGCAACACTACTATGGTATTTGTAATGTTAAATACTCCACCTATGTTATTTGAAAAATTGTTGTGTTCAATCAAGAATAGTTTATAAATACTCGACACAACAAATAAACCTAGGTTTTCAGCACCATGATACTGAAACCGAGCCACTGTATTTTTGAATACTAGCTGAACTCGTTTGCCTCCTTTGTGTGCAATTGCAAACAAACATGTGGCAACATTTCCTATGAAGGAAGCATTATCAAAGGTTACTCTGAAGGAATTTTGAGGGGGATTGATTGAAATGATGCTAACGATACTGTAGATTTTTACGTGCCTTCTCCCATGATCTAAAAATTGACAATTAATCAATGAAAGAGGCTCAAATTCCCGTTGACTCAATGATAAAATGTGTTGCTCAGAAAAATATTCTACAAAGGAAACTGAAGCTCCAACCCAAGTGGAGTAGTTGAAGTTATAATTTTTCCAAAAGACTGCATCTAAAATTATTGTGGAGCTGCTTGATCTAAAATTATTGTAATAAAATATCAAGATTGCACCAGCTAAGGAGCCACTGTTGGCATAAAAACATGAATGACCATTAACTAGTAGGTTGACTGTGAACTGCTGCTGAGTATAGTAAACTGTTATACCACTTCCATGTACGATTGGTAGCGGCCCTGTATTGATTTCTTTGAAGTATGAGAGACAGCAAGGTTTACTGATGTTGGCTGTATTTTTAAACATTATAGCATCTTGTATTGTAACATTAACGGGATAACTTGATGCTTCCAATTGTTCCAAATGTTTACTGCTGTCAGTGAAAAGCAGGAAAATTCCAGAACCAATATTTTCTTTTGTTGTGGACAGACATACTGTGATGCCTTTTATAAATGCACTCAATGGGTTAATGGCTAGTATAGCAAAACCATAATATTGAAAAATTTGTACCCCATCCATTGATAATACCTTAATGTTTAGAAACATAAAAACAGCTGACTGGTATTGAGTAAAATAAACTCCAGAACTAGTAGAATTAATGGGCACAGTTGTATCCAAATCTCTCAAATGTCCACCACAGCCTTTCAAAGCTAACCTTTGTAAAGTCAAACTGGGCATGTTGGTGAATGCTAATACACCAGAAGGTTTCTCACACTGTATAATACAAGGCTTGGAAAAGGAATCACTGACTAGTGTGAGAGAATAAGATGTGTTAATCAGACAAAATGATATGTTAGAGGCAATGTTATGGGTGAGATTTGTAGACAGTACAGCAATAGTGTCTTGAATCAGAGGTTGACCACTGCAAAGAAAATGCTCCAGTTCACCATCTCTAGTAATATTTACCTGGTGAAAGCTGATAATGGTAGCTGGTAGCAAGGATAAAAGAGTAAAGAGTATCAAGAATGTCATCACTACTACACATGACTCCGTAGTTTAAACAATGACTGAGAGCAGTTTTATACTAAAATTAAATTTAACAAAATCAATTATGACAGTTTTCAATGCAACTTTTAAGTCTGTTAAATAAATCATTAAAATCATTCAACAGTTTATACTACTGAAAACTATGATACAAGAACAAACTATAAACACTCTTTTAATGGCCATAATTATCCAACAAAAACTGTATAGTATAGAAACTGAATCTGTTTGTTGTATAAACTGTGAGAAATTTATTTTAACTAGACTGAAAGTTACAATAAAAGCTGTCGTCATTGTTAATAAGTTGCATTAGCGAGCAGGGTAGCAAATTATTGCAAAGCTACATCTATATAATTTTGACACACTTCTGGAACACAAAATACCCTAAAAACTAACAATGGCAAACTACATGAAATTAAACTATTAGTTAGATTCTCAGTACATTCTGCAGGTTAAATAATTAGGTTAATAGTAACATTAGAGGATAGTTTCCTTATCTTCTTTATTCAATTCTTTCTCAAGAATAACACCAGAGCTATCACCTTGGCTTTTTTTCTTATCACTTTGACTATCAATGTCAATATATAATTGCTGTATACCATTAATTGAAGGTCAACTTACCGTATGAACCATAAAATGCTGATTATTATTATCATTATGATTAAGATCCCGATTACAACAACTATTGTTATTCCTATTATTTGTACAACAGGTATAGGAGTTACTGAAGCAGTAGTTGTCACAACAATAGTAGATGAATGTGAATTTAGTATTGTAACACCAGCAATTGTGAACCCAGCACTAGAATATTTTGAATCAGCTGCCTATAATAGATAATTACACATAAAAATTTAAAGCTAGGCGTACTACAATCGACATAACAGTCAAATTGCATGGGCAATCTGACCTATTGATGCAAGGCTTAAGAGTGTTATAATAAATTATAGAGATAAAATTTTTACTATCAGGCCCAGACCTGGCGTCAGTTACAATGCATAAAACCTCAATTACAATATAAACTCAATTACAATTATGCCATGTTGAAGTAGTTGTAATTACAAATACTATGTTTTAGATGACACAGAAACATGGGCTTGCTTTAAAAATGGAGAAGTTACTGGTTTAGTAGGTATAGTCACAGCTGTTGAACTCTACGTACTGGTTGCAGTTCAGCTGTCATAGTAGCTATAACATTATTTTTACCAGGGTATTTACAAAGCAAGCTAAATGAGCTAAACAGCATACTCTATGAGCTTACAAGAACCAAAATAATTGTACATGGCATTTGGAGCAAATTAATATAAAAATTCATTAAAATCCAATTTTAATCAAATTAGATACACTACATCAGAACATGTTGTATAAAAATTATTAATATAAAAAATTTATTGTAGGTATTTTTGACAAAATTTGGCAAAAAATTGTGTATTATTTTTGAGCAGCTTTAAAAATTATAGTAAAAATTTAATTCTAATTGGAATCCACATAAACTTTGTACATGACATAGATATGTGTTATGTATCATTATAGTATAGTGCGTGGGTGCATCAAAGGCACCACCCGTGCTGTATATCTCATACAGCACACTTCCGGTTCATACAGCACAGTTTGTGGTCCATACAGCACAGTTTGTGGTCCATACAGTACAGTTTGTGATCCATACAGCACAGTTTGTGGTTTTCTGTTGTATAAACTGTGACTGCCCAAAACTAAGAGCCACACAAGGTAGAAGACTCCGCAAGCAGACATTCCAGTCTCTTTTCAGTCTTTTGGTTCTCTTTAGGATATTCTTCACTTGGCCTTGGGCTGGTGCCTTTGATGCACCCACACACTATGACCATAAACTAGTAAAAGCATGGTACTCTTGCCCTGTGCTGTACTGGAAATACAGCACTCGAGGTGTGGTCTTGAAGGCCATACCTCACGTGCTGTATTTCCCGTACAGCACATGGAATCGTGCTTTAACTAATACATAAAAATTATAAAACTGGAGAAATCTCTTCTTGACATTTTTGGTAAAATTTTATCCAAAGACCCTATAAAAATTTGTAAAAATCCAATTTTGATTGAAATGAATTCAAACTTTATACACATCATAAACACATGTATGCATACATGCATCAGAACAATTATAAAAATTAAGAAATCTTTCCCTGACATTTTTAACAAAATTTGGCCCGTCCAATTATTGATAAAATTAATAAAAATTTAAATTTTGATCTGAATCCACTCAAACTTTGTACACAACATAAGTACACATATAATTATGTATCAGAACAAATTAAACTGAGAATTCTTTTATTCATAAAATTTTCTTGACAAATTATGGCCAATGACCCTGTACTATTTGTATGCAAAACTTTTAGGTAACTTCAAATTTTATGAAAAAACTAATTTTGATTAGAATTACTTAAACTAGACTACATATATGTCATCAGAACATGCATATCAACAAAAAATTTTAAAATGAAAAATTCTCTCCTAGCCATTTTTATATGGGTCAAGGTTATCTATAAAGCTCTACTGAGTTAGCTAAACAGTTCACCTCAGGAGCTGAAAAGAAGCTTATAACTATGTTTGTACTAGGAAGTACTGATTGTCACATATTCTCAGCATCTGTATTGAGTAAGTAGTTGGCAATTTAATTTTGATTAAAATTCTAATTACATTCTATTCAGGCTTAAGCCTCAATTACAATTATAATTACATTATTGTAATTGTTATTGAGCCTCTAATTACAATTACAACTGTAATTGACCCCAGGTTTGAATTCAGGATTTGCCTCTATATGCCTAAAATATCAAAAGACAGATTTCAAGGCTGTAATGCATACTAGAGTAAAAGCTCTACTAAAATTATTACTCATTATACGGGTACATAACTTAAACAAAATTATCATCTATTATTAGCTTGCCTTTAGAGCTGCAACTACTGCATTGGCATCAAAAGGAGCTCCAGATTGTCCTTTGATGTAAAACTTGACTCTTAGTCCATTAATTGTTTCAGTGATTTCAGTAATAACAATGTCATTAGCTTCTATCAAATTATTTACTGCTACCCTAGAATATGAGATTGTTCAAATACATGGCCCAAAAATTTTGCTAATTTTGTCAATTTTAAATAACATAATTTTAATGACTAAATCCTTATTATGCCAAGGCAAATAAATTTGGGCCATAAAATTTTATCTATACAGTACACGTTTTACCTTTTTCTTTTTTCAGAAGAAACACTAGTACAGTCATTGGTAATACAATAATCATTCAAAGCTTCTGCAGTTACATTTTTAAAACTCTCAATATCAAACTAAACAAAAGTATAAATGTAACAAAGACTTTTATATGCTACATACATTGCTTTTGTTGGTTCCACTTAAAACAACAATGACTCCTGAATTTTCTGGAAGAGTAGGAGTAGGAGTAACTGATGGTGACGAAACTGCCAGTAAGGAAGAAGGTGAATTTGTAAAACTGCCAAAATATGTAGACATAACAGGAGATGAATTAACAGTTGATGAATATGCAGAGGACTTTGAACTTGCAGATAAGGAAGGAACGGGTTCCACCAGAACTAAGTAATTCATAATATGGAAGTATAATTAAGACTAACAGTTACCTTTGCATGATCCATCCTGAAAGATTGTTCCTAATGGACAGAAGCAGTCAAAACTTCCAGGACTATTCACACATCTTATCCTAGGCTCTGGACAAGAGCCTAGCACCAGACACTCATCAATATCTATAACAGTAGGAAAAAATTAAGTTAAATTTTTAAAAAGCAAATTATTAATACACTGAGTTTACCTGTACAAGTAAACCCATCAGACTGGAGTTGAAATCCATCTGAGCAGTTACACTCAAAGCTTCCTATGGTGTTGATACAAATCTGAGTACAAGGATTAGTCTCTGAGCACTCATCAATATCTGAATAAAGAGATCATAAGTTTTAATTATTTTTCGTTTAGCGAATCCTTTTACCTGTGCAGTTTGCCATGTTAGTTGATAAATCATACCCACTTTGACACGAACAATTTTTAGTCTTAGTGTAATTATCATAAACACAAAACTGCTCACACATGCTATGATCTAAACATTCTCTGTTGGGATCATCTATAGAGAAATAAAATGAAGACAAAAATAAGGAGAAGCTTTTAAACTATTAGCTTACTCTGACAACTACGACCATCATCTTGTAGTAAGAACCCATCATAACAACTACAACTGAAGGATCCATCAGTATTCATGCATTCTTGCTGGCAATTATCAAGTAGCTTCTCACACTCATTAATTTCTATCACATTGAGTTAAAAGGTTAATTTATTCATATTTATATTTTACCATTGCATGATCTCCCATCACTATGAAGTTCATATCCAGGCATACATGTACACTGATAACTGCCAATAGTATTGTTACAGAAATGAGAACAATTGCTGGTACTAGTTGAATTACATTCATCAATATCTGCATGTGTATAAATTATCATCATAAAAACAATAAATGGCTGAACTCACCATCACATATTAATCCATCTCCAGTGTATCCACTAGGACAAGGTGGGCAAGTGGCACCAGTTCCAGGTGCTGGTACATCAGTACATGTAGCATCATTGAAGCATGATACTTCAGTACAACCATCATAGTCATCCTCACAGTACTTTCCATTGTATGCTATGAAATACAACAAAAGCAATTAGGCCACTCCAATTAGACTCATTGTTTACCCACACTGGCAAAGAAAACATCAATTTATATTGCAACATCAAGAATTTCAATTGATATTAATAAAGCCGTTCAGCCCTTCCCATAAAAAAAGGAATCATGGCTTCCCACAGAATTCTGGCTAATGCCCATGCATATTCTTGTCAGTGAAGTTAAAGTTGATCAAAAATCGGGATAAAAAATTCTCCACTTTTATAATTTTTGACATCAATGTAAATGTTCTTATGTTGAGTAGCAAAGTCCCTTTACACACTATATACAAAATCTTCGGCTAAATTTCACCAAAAATGACAAGAAAAAAATTCTTAATTTTAATAATTTTTTCTAATGCATATAAATGTACTTATATTTTATCTTAACTTTGAGCTGATTCGTATCAAAATTGGTTTTTTTAATGAATTTTTAAGTAGCAAAAACATTGGGTCAAAATAAAATCCCTGTACTAAAGTAAGGGACTTTAGAAAAATTTTGGCAAAAAGGAGAGAATTCTCTACTTTTATAACTTTTCTGATACGTATACAAAATTGATTTTTGTGAATTTTAATTTAAAGAAAGCCATGTAAAGGTACCTACATGTACATGTATTGTAATACTTGTCAGCTCATAAAGTTTGCTTTTGTGGGAACCCTGAATTGGAGTGGCCTTATGGACTAGCACAAATTACGATACATGTAGTTTATACCATAGATAAGCCATTAATCATTAATTAAAATTTCCTGTACCTTCGATACAATTGCATATTAAAATCAACGGGTTACTGGAAGCATTCTGCACACCTTCAACAGTACAGCTACCTCTATCAGCAGGACAGCCACAAATTCTCACCTATATGATAATACTAGTAATTGTATGCTTGAAGAACAGTGCTATAATAACTTGAAAAATACATACTTGAGGAGTTAATACTGATGTGGCATTGAATGAGTCACTTGCTATCACAGTAAATGAGAATTCGACAAGAGAAAAATGTGTTACATTAAGTGTCCATATTGATCCATCTTGATCAAGTGTGTATGGAAACTCTCCATCAAAAGTAACACTGATAGTGTCTCCAGGGTCTGTGATATTTGTTGTGTATAGTGCAGTTTCTCCTACTGTTAGCATGAAAGTATCACTAGCTTCAATTACTGGAGGTAAGTTATCTACATAAAGACATTGTAGTTATTGATACAAGTAAATTTTGCTATCTACTCACTTCCTATTTGCTTGTTAAGTTCATTTTGTTCCATTGTTGTCTGAGTGTCTAATGCTAATTCTTCATTCTTTGTTTGACTGTAATCAAAAATGCACTCAATCTTATTAGACCCTCCACATATTCTCTCAGCTTCTGCTCTAGTTTCAGGATCAATTTGATCAAGAAATACTGGAACATGGTTTGGATTGGAGTAACTTGCATATGTCCTTTCAGGAGCATAAGTAAACAGGCTTTCTTGATCACTTTGGACTTGCCCTATAAAAAATATTTATAATATGTTCCATTACAATAGTATACTGGTACATAAATTTTAAACAAAATCTTTCATTTTTCAGCAACAATTAATTGCTTACATG